TTTTATAAATGTACGAGCACTAATGAACTATATTGATCTTGTCGATTAAATTAGCTTTTTATGATGATTCATCAATATATAATCCATGAGAGTTTTTTTGTAAAAGCAAGATGGTCTATTCATTTATGTTGGTCATTACCACGGAATGTCATTGACGTTATTCTCCATCTTCAAATCTGTGAATGTCGTACTACAGGTAAAATACACAGAAGTTGGCACATAAATGTAAGGCGTTTTGGTCTCAAATGTTCATGTTCTATTAATTATAATTGCATTTCTTGGATAGAAAGTAAATGCCAAAAATCACATTGTTGGCCATTCTCAGTTATCTACTGACTTGTACAAATATTATATGGCAAATCAAAACCAACTTCTTAGGTATCAATGCAGTTGTCTTTGATGTTCTATGAAGTTCAAATCCTGTACATTCATTCATAATGGGTAGATTGTTCACAATTTAGGTCGCTTTTGGTCAAAAAATTTATTTTTGTTCATTTTCAGACAAAGAAATTAATAGTAATGAAGGGCTATCATTGTCAGTGTTTTGGGAACTATCAATTATTTGTGTGTGAAATTCCATGCACTAATTCCATGACCTTCACCTGGATTGGTTAGATGCTGTTAAAAACACATTAAATTCTGTTTGGATAATTTTAACTATAAGCTATAAATATGTCACATCATAAATACACATTTTAACAAAACTAATCAATTATTTATGCAGATTATCTTAATAATTAATAAGCATGTATAAAATGTTAGCTAACTAACTGTGTACATGTGCCTCTTTTATAGATTTAAAACGTGAAGCGAGTATTTGTCACATGCTCAAACACCCTCACATAGTTGAGTTATTGGAGACTTATAGCGCTGATGGAATGCTTTATATGGTATTTGAATAGTAAGTATGGACATATTTATTGTTATGGGTGAAAAGTGTATGGTACTTTTAGTTCTGATTGATGGACCATCAAATAAAGTTGAAATTTCAAAGTTTTGTGTTTGTTCAGATTTGTATGTGCAAGGGTCATTTGAAAAACTTACAGTTCAGATCAGATGCAATGTGTCAAGAAGCCTAGACATTTGACTGTACCATAAAAGGTCTTCTGGCGCTTGCTGGATTAACTCTAAAATATGTTTTTCAGCGTAGTAGGTTGTACTGGTAGCAATCTTAAGATAGGTACCTCTCCAAAGTGGGAGAAGCGGGTTGGTTGTTGGACTTCACCCTCAGTCTTAAATATTGATAAAGCTGTTTAAGTTTTAGACCAGAATTATGCTTAAATCATGCCTAAACTAACATCAATATTGTATTCTATAATTATTCGTAACTGTATACGACAGAAAAAATAAAATACTTTATGTATTCTGTTTTTTTAAAAAGAGCCATTTCACAGAGCAGTGTGTCCAAATACCTCACCATAGTGTGTTATTTGTATACTAAAATCTGGCCGCTGCGGTTTAATTTCCTAAGAAGCTTGTGTAAATAACATGCAAGGAGCCCAAGTCTTTTACACAAATACAATTGCTGTTTGTAACTAGTATATATATGCCAGCATGCCTAATACCAATGTTTCTATTACCAGTATGGATGGTGCTGATCTGTGTTTTGAAATAGTGAAGAGAGCTAATGCTGGCTTTGTGTATAGTGAAGCTGTTGCAAGGTATGTAGTAATAGTAAACCATCAACTTGATTAGTTTTTCTTTCATTTCCACACTTTATTTGATGAATTTTATAATATAAGATTGAAAATTGAAATCTTACAATGACTCTACGTACAATTAATGAAATGAGAAAAATCAGCATTTCAGTTTTAAAAATTACAAGTGATGTATTTGCTCTGTTACCGGTAGTAACGATTGCACTTGACAAACAAATGTAATTGACAAAGCTGTATCTATGGTCAATAACTATTAGTAGCCCATATGTGTAAGTAAATGACATTCATGTCTTATTTTTATGTGCATTTTTATTGGAGATGAGCTTGTAATAAAACAAATACAGTATTTTGATTTTTTAATGAATACTATTTTATTATAATTTGACTCCAATCTTGCGATGGCTTGCTTCACCGACTTACCGTAGTTTTGTATAAGGTATATACATATGGTAACCAACAAGATATTGTGGAGAGTGAGAAATGTTTTTTTCCCCCCTCAAATAGTGATCCATTCTTTTCTGTCATTCTCTACTGTTCCACTAATCTATGTAACCATGGTAATGGAACAGTGGGCGTGATGATGAGGGAAGAATAGAACATTAGTTGAGGGGGGGAAAAGGTCTTGTTGTTTTGCTCTCTCAACAAGATCATGGTCGCCATTGCATATAATATCTACTGCAACTACCATCCACTCATATAGATAATTTTATTTCAGTCATTATTTAAGACAGATATTGGAAGCATTGAGGTATTGCCATGACAATGACATAGTACACAGAGATATGAAGGTGAGTTTTGTTCTGACCAACCATATGGACACATATTCCACAATTTTCAGTATCATTTAAAAAGGGTATCATGGCAGAGTAGCTAATCGAACACTAATTCTTTGTATGATCTATGTTTGAAGAAACCACATGGTATATATTGCATTGCATTGCTTAATTGTGTTGTATTATAAAGTGACATGTATGTTGTATCTTCACAGCCACACTGTGTTCTTTTAGCAACCAAAGAGAATTCAGCTCCAGTCAAGTTAGGTGGATTTGGAATTGCCATTCAGTTACCAGAAAATGGTTACATCACGTCAGGTGAGGAGATGTCAATCTATATATATAGGGACTGTCTGACTCACTCAGTGACTGTATGACTCGCTCAAGGACTGTCTGACTCACTCACAGACTGTCTGACTCACTCAAGGACTGTCTGACTCACTCACTCAAGGACTGTCTGACTCACTCAAGGACTGTCTGACTCACTCAGGGACTATATGACTCACTCAGGGACTATATGACTCACTCAGGGACTATATGACTCACTCAGGGACTATATGACTCACTCAAGGACTATCTGACTCACTCAAGGACTATCTGACTCACTCAAGGACTATCTGACTCACTCAAGGACTATCTGACTCACTCAAGGACTGTATGACTCACTCAAGGACTGTATGACTCACTCAAGGACTGTCTGACTCACTCAAGGACTGTCTGACTCACTCAAGGACTGTCTGACTCACTCAGGGACTATATGACTCACTCAGGGACTATATGACTCACTCAGGGACTATCTGACTCACTCAGGGACTATCTGACTCACTCAAGGACTATCTGACTCACTCAAGGACTATCTGACCCACTCAGGGACTGTATGACTCACTCAATAACTATCTGACTCACTCAATAACTATCTGACTCAAGGACTATCTGACTCATTCAGGGACTGTCTGACTCACTCAAGGACTATCTGACTCACTCAAGGACTATCTGACTCACTCAAGGACTATCTGACTCACTCAAGGACTATCTCACTCACTCAGGGACTGCTTGACTCGCTCAGGGACTATCTGACTCATTCATCGACTATATCACTCAAGGACTATATCACTCACTCAAGGACTATCTGACTCACTCAAGGACTATCTGACTCACTCAAGGACTATCTGACTCACTCAAGGACTATCTGACTCACTCAGGGACTGTCTGACTCACTCAGGGACTGTCTAACTCACTCAAGGACTATCTGACTCACTCAAGGACTATCTCACTCACTCAGGGACTGCTTGACTCGCTCAGGGACTATCTGACTCATTCATCGACTATATCACTCACTCAAGGACTATATCACTCACTCAAGGACTATCTGACTCACCCAGGGACTATCTGACTCACCCAGGGACTGTCTGACTCACTCAGGGACTATCTGACTCACCCAGGGACTGTCTAACTCACTCAAGGACTATCTGACTCACTCAAGGACTATCTGACTCACTCAAGGACTATCTGACTCACTCAAGGACTATCTGACTCACTCAAGGTCTATCTGACTCACTCAGGGACTATCTGACTCACTCAAGAACTGTCTGACTCATTCAGGGACTATATGACTCACTCAGGGACTGTCTAACTCACTCAAGGACTATCTGACTCACTCAAGGACTATCTGACTCACTCAAGGACTATCTGACTCACTCAAGGACTATCTGACTCACTCAAGGACTATCTGACTCACTCAAGGACTATCTGACTCACTCAAGGACTATCTGACTCACTCAAGGACTATCTGACTCACTCAAGGTCTATCTGACTCACTCAGGGACTATCTGACTCACTCAAGCACTATATGACTCACTCAAGCACTATATGACTCACTCAAGCACTATATGACTCACTCAAGGACTATCTGACTCACTCAAGGACTATCTGACTCACTCAGGGACTGTCTGACTCACTCAGGGACTGTCTGACTCACTCAGGGACTGTATGACTCACTCAGGGACTGTATGACTCACTCAGGGACTGTATGACTCACTCAATAACTATCTGACTCGAGGACTTTCTGACTCATTCAGGGACTGTCAGACTCACTCAATGACTATATGACTCACTCAAGGACTATATGACTCACACAAGGACTATATGACTCACTCAAGCACTATATGACTCACTCAGGGACTATATGACTCACTCAGGGACTATGTGACTCACTCAAGGACTATCTGACTCACTCAAGGACTATCTGACTCACTCAAGGACTATCTGACTCACTCAAGGACTATATGACTCACTCAAGGACTGTCTGACTCACTCAGGGACTGTCTGACTCACTCAGGGACTGTATGACTCACTCAGGGACTGTATGACTCACTCAGGGACTGTATGACTCACTCAGGGACTGTATG